CCACCCACTGTAGGTTGTTCTACAGTGGTTATTCTAACCACAAATTAAGGAGTTATTTTTCTGTGGTTCCGTTATACACAAGGATTATATTGCAAGAGTTGCTGGAGCCCAAGTTCTGTAAACAGTTGTTTTGGAAGAAGTCTTTGTCTGACAGACTGACTAGATTGCTGGTACTCAAAACATTCTAGGATGGAATTTAGATGAGCAAAGCATAACTTGCCAATTATGTTCAACTCGTTGAATATTGTGCTATGAAATGTCCGATAAGGAATTTCCCAAGTGCCTTTTGAGTTAGTATATGACAGCAGCCTTTTCAGTAGGATAGAATTGCTAGGGAATTTCCTACACCTAGAGTAGTGAGCATTTATACTTTCTAGGCCCATTTTAGATCACAGTTAAAGCACATTGTCTAGGAAAATTTGCACACGTATGTACATATAACATTTTGCATGCAGTCATGGGGGCCAGTAAGTGCATTTCATTTAACACACCCACTGGCCATTAGGTGTCCATGATCATAGATTAAAAATCCATGTGGAGGTCTGATGATATGGAAGCAAAATAGGTGTTCTCTTCTAGTTTCACTAATGTTATTGAATTGCAGGTGAAGCCACAGCTTCTTGTGGCAGTGAATAAGGTTAGCAAAGTGTTGCTGAACTTGTTGGACAGAGGTTTCCCGTGTGATAAGCCCAGTAGGAATGATATAACACTTGTTGCTTCTTGTTCACGGTTCTCTTCAAGCATGACAGAGTAATAGATGCTTTTATTTAAAGAATGAATGAATGGGTTCAGGGAGAAATGTGTTCTGAAAAAGAGCTAACTCTTGTTTCATATTTCACCATGTCTTCTTTAATCCCTTTCTTAATAGCTGGTATTTCAGAATCAAAATAAGAAAAATAGGTGGGAATGCATTCAACAGTGATGTGACATTATAGAAGATGCTCACTGACCTCTGAGCAGAAGCTTAATTTTCCTATTTTCTTCTTACCTTGTATAACCATATTTGTTCTTCTTTTGTTGCAGATGACTAAGTTTTTCTTTACTGTCTTTTTTTTTTCCATTTCAGATATTACTTTAGTAACTAGAGAAAGGGCAGAATTCATTAAAAGTTTTGAATTGTTTCTAGTTATTTTAAAAGCCTACAAGAGTTCTTGAGATTTATTTTTGGCTTAAATTTTGGTTTTTTAAGTAAAGAAAATCTTGTTCTGTTAGAGTTCTTTATAGATTTCTTCTGTTTTCCTTTTCTTTTGTGGCACTGGAGACCTAACTCAAACCCTTTTCACTCTACCACTGAGCTACCTCCCCAGACCCTAGTTTTGTCTTTATATTTATTTATTTGGGGGCAGAGGTACTGGGGATTAAACCCAGTGGTTCTTTTTTTTACCACTCAACTATATCCCCAGTCTTTTTTTTTTTTTCAATTTTGAGACAGGGCCTTGCTAAGTGTCTGAGGCTGGTCTTCAACTTGAGATGCTTCTGTCTCAGCGTCCTCAGTAGCTGGGATTACTGGTGTACGCCACCATGCCCAGCTCAATATTTCCTTTCTTCTTTGAAATTATTCAAATAGGTATCTAAACTTTCCAAATTATTTTTGCCTCTCTAGTGGATGACTTAGTAAGATAATCAAAGTTCTTCTTCTATTAATTATGACTTTTTTCTTAAATAGGTTTAGTACATCACTGATTTAGTCAGCATTTTCACTGCTGTGACTAAAAGATCTGAGCAGAACAATTTTAAAGGAGGAAGAGTTTATTTGAGGGCTCACAGTTTCAGAGGGTCTTAGTCCATAGAAGGCTGGTTCCATTCCTTGAGACTCCAGACAAGGATGAACATTATGGCGGGAGAGTGTGGCGGAGGGAAGCAGCTCACATCATGATCAGAAAGCAGAAAGGGAGGTCTTCACTTGCCAGATACAAATATATGCCCAAAGCCACACCCCAGTTCCCACCTCCTCCAGCCACACCCTACCACTTCAGTTACCACTCAGTTAATCCCTATCAGGGGATTAATTCATTGATTGGGTTAAGACTCTTACAACCCAATCATTTTTCCTCTGAATCTTCTTGCATTGTCTCACACATAAGTTTTGAGGGACACCTCACATCCAAACCATAACAATCCCCCGTGTTGTTTTTTTTTTTTTATTTTGTTTTTTAGTACAAGGCCTCACAAATGTTATACTACTATTGAGGTCTAGCCAGCCCCAGCCTCTCAGTCATCTTTTGCAAAGGAAAATAAGTTATTCAGTATGTTATCTTTTTTTTTTCTTTTTTTAGTATCATGAGGGCTGGGGTTATGGCTCAGTGGTAGAGTGTTTGCCTAGAACATGTGAGGCACTGAGTTCGATTCTCAATACTGCATATAAGTAAATGAATAAAGGTCCATCAACATCTAAAAAAAACAGGAATTTTTTTAATTGAATGGCTTAATAGAATAGAATTCAGGTTCATAATTCTAAGGAACAGGAATAACTTTTAAACAAGAAGCTAATATTTAAGGATAATTGGCTAAGGCCCATACTAACTTTTACTTATTTAAATCTGCCCACATAATGCTTTATGTTCAGTAACTCATTAATCCTTAGATTTATATTGAATACACACTATTATTAGTCCCATTTTACAATTTGAAGGCAACCAAGGAAGGCAAAGAGAAGTTAAGTAACTTGTCCAATGTCACATGTTACTCATTAATAATAATTTGCAGAGCCTTTGCTATTAAGCACCATGTTGAAATGCCCTTAAAATCTAATCTAGAGTACATGGATGGAACAATATTTATTAGCAACTCAATTCATAATAGCTAAGCTATGGAACCAACCCAGCTACCCTTCAACAGATGAATAGATAAAGAAAATGTATATATACACAATGGTATATTACTCAGCCATAAAAAAGAATGACTTTATGACTTTTGCTGGAAAAATAGATGGATCTGGAGACTATCACACTATCAAGTGAAATAAGCCAACCCTAAAAAACAAGGCCAAACGTTCTCTCTCCTATGTGGATGCTAACACATAATGAGAGAGGGAGGGGAGAATAAAGGTTCAGGGGATTAGACAAAGAAGAATGAAGGGAAGCTGGAGGATGGGAAGAGGAAAGACAGTAGAATGAATCAGACATAACTTTAATATGCTCCGCATATGGATACACCACAGTGAATCTCAACATCATGTGCATTTACAAGAATGGGATCTTAATTAAAATAAGCTATTTCCATGTATGTAGAATATGTCAGAAAGCACTCTACTGCCATGCATATCTAAAAAGAACAAATTTTAAAAAGAGTGAATAGATGTTAGAGGTAGTCAAGGAAGGTGACAATTGAACTCATTCTGGAATGAGCACAAGTTTCCTAAGTAGAGAACAGAGAGGAAGGCAAATGTGTAGATGCCAGGAAGTTTGAGAGTGTGTTTAAGGAAGGTTGAAAAGGGGAGATTTCAGGCGGTAGAAAGAAAAAAATTGGAAACAGATTATGAATTGACTTGGGTTTCTTTCAGGGAGTCTGGGCTTTCTTCATAGAGCTGGATTTACAACATAGATCCTCAGATGGATGCTGAGCCCTTTACCTCAGAATCCAGTAGGAAGCTTGTTAAAAAGGCAAATTCCTAACCACCACCCTAGGTCATTCAAATTCAGAAAGTGTAGGGCAGGAGCCAGGAGTCTAGGTGGTTCTGATGTGTAGGCATGCTTAGGACCTCTGCTCTAGGCTGTCTGGAACTAAAAGACTTACAAGTAGGCAGAAAACATGGATGGGATTTTGTTTTTAAAGTGGGAATTATAGAAATTGAAACTAGTACACAATATTTTGGAGAATGATCAATTAAGAGGCTATTGTAAACATTTAACAAAGAGGTAATATGATCTTGGATTAAGATGTGGCCTTGTTGATGGAGTGGACTGATTCAAAAGGTATTTCAGAGTAGGAATTGGTAGGTAGGTAGGAAGAGGATAGGGAAGTGATAAAGGATTGTGTTAGGATTTACAGACTAAATAAATAGTATATAATGGTGTTTTACCTGAGAGAGAGAAGAGGAAAATGATTTTGCCATTCTAACTTTTACTTATTTAAATCTATACATTCAAGATTGTATAAAATATTATGTTTCCTTGATAATTGCCATTCTGACTGGGGTCAGATGAAATCTTAGAGTAGTTTTGATTTGCATTTCTCGAATTCCTAAAGATGTTGAGCATTTTTTCATATATTTGTTAATCAACTGCATTTCCTCTTCTGTGAGGTATCTGTTCAGTTCCTTACCCCATTTATTCATTGGATTATTTGGGTTTTTTTGGTGATTTTTTTTTTTTTAGCTCTTTATATATCCTGGAGATTAACACTGTATCTGAGGTGCTGCCATGTACAACTAATTAGAACAAGTTAAAAACTTAAAAAAAAAAAAACTATGTTTCCTATCATCTGAGAGTAAGAAATAATAGCTTCTATTCAAACATGACCTGTCAGCTTCTTGAGGCAGCACTGGCCACATATTTCTCTGTTGTACAAGTCTGCTCCTTGAGAAAATCCTTGCTCCACCCCAGATAACAACCTGTCCTTTACTAAAGCCACAAGCAATGCCCTCCACCTTGATTGTCCAACTGGGCACAGGGAGGTGCAAGGATTACATCAGAAAGTACAGTGCTTGATGGACACGGTGGCACATGCCTGCAATTCCAGCTACTCTGAAGGCTGAGGTGGAAGGGTGGCAAGTTCAAGGCCAACCGGGGCAACTTAGCAAGACCCAAAATAAAATAAAAAGGACTGGAAATGTAGCACCTCTGGGTTCAACCCCCCATTTCCACAATTAAAAAAAAAAAAAAGCAAACTAGGTTCACTCATACGTTATATACTGATGCTTAACACCTATACCATTTGCTGCTCACAACAGAACCTTTAGTTATCTCTTGCCAGCCAGGCACTGGTCTGTAGGCAGCCATGTCGAACCAATATGGCCTTTTCCACCTGGCCACAGGTGATTATTACACCAGATTAGATACCTGAAGCAAGCTGGAACCAATCCAAATTCCATCTGCTGGAATTGAACATTGAGGTTTTACTTGTAAATTTGAGGGCTCTGAGTAACATGTATCATATGCCATGCAGATTGGGGAACAGAGAGAGCTGATCTAAAAAAAAAGAGAAGACTCACACAGATGGGCAGTGAGAAGAAAGAGAGAGAGAAAAATGGGGAGAGACCAGTGCCTGTGTCCCTCCCTCATGGCTTCTCAGCCAGGAATCAGTATCCACAAATAAGTATTCCCACCCTCATTCCTTTCTTACCTTTTGTAAAAGACACACTGTTAGGCACACCTGGACTACCTTTTATTTATTTATTTTGGGCATTGAGGATTGAACTCAGGGGCACTCAACCACTGAGCCACATCCCCAGTCCTATTTTATATTTTATTTAGAGACAGGGTCTCCCTGAGTTGCTTGGCGCCTCACTTTTTGCTGAGGCTGGCTTTGAACTCAGAATTCTCCTGCCTCAACCTCCCTATCTGCTGGGATTACAGGTATGCGTCACTGCGCCCAGCTTTATTTTTATTTTATTATTTTCTAGTGCTCAGGATTGAACCCAGGGTGCTCTACCCCTGGACTAATCCCCAGTCCTTTCTATTTTTTATTCTCACTAGGTTGCTTATAGCTGTCATCAAATCTGGGATCCACCCCTCAGTCTCTCAAACTGCTGGGATTATATGCATGCGCCACTACTTTTGGAAGGTGTTTGACCTTTGGACAACATAGTTAGAGTTAATGATTTGAAATGTAAGTCAGGCCTTTATATTTTTAGTCTAGTTTAGGTATTTGGATTGAACTAGTATTTTGGAGTGGGAAATACTGTGGTATATATTCTAACACAAAATTTAAAATTCAAGTGCATATCCAATGTATCTCTAAACATTTATTTCAAGTTTCTTGTTTTTATTTTTCTTCTCCTACCTCTTTTCAAATGATTCTTGTGGTGTTTTGTAGGCATGTTATGAGTATGGAGAAAAAGAAATCTACCCAGGAATCAAGATTGCTTTTAAGCGCACACATGTAATTTCTCCACATTTCTTTTTAAAAAGGATATGCACACTAATTTTTTAAAAACAACATATGCACACTGAAGTCAAAGAATCACAAATGTATGCCTTTAGGGATGGAAAATTTGAAGATGCCAAACTAACTTTAACAAATTGTCATTTGGAATAGCCCAGCCTAAGAAGATCTCTAATAAGTATAAAATAAGATGGATAGAAATTTATTATAATGAAAAACATTGGTCATATTTTTATCCATAGTATGCATAATGGTGAACTGTGATCAGTGTTCTAAGAATGACAAAAGGACTAAAAGCCAAACTGCAAATTGTTAAATAAATTAATTCACAGAATTAAAGTGCTTTTTTAGTATTCTATATAATATTGTGCTGTTATATAGTACATTTGAGCAACTTTGCTAATGTTTCACATACCTTTTCATGCTATTTTTAAAATTTCTAAACAAATGACAGTTTTTATGATTGAGTTCTAGTGTAATTGTATTGGAATCAGAAAAATACTCCTTTTTGAATTTCTCAAGTTTCTTTTTTGTCCAGTTTTGAGTCAATTGGTATAAACATTTTGTTTATAAAACAACTATTACAGTGTGTTTATCTTTTCTGCTAGTAATTATTTAAATTTTTGTGATTATATATTTTGAGGCTATTTTACTACTTCTTATAGAAGTTTAGAATTTTTATATTGTAAAGAACATAATGAAAAAAATGGAGAAAGTTTAAGTAACTTTCTCCATTTTTTTCATTATGTTATTTGAGATTAACTCTTTTTTCTTTTTCTGCTTATTGTCAATTCTAAGCTATTGGATCAGTGATAAAATTAAATAGTTTTGGTACTTTAATCACACTATGTTTCTTTCTTTTTTGCTGAAGTTTTGGTCAGCTTAATTGTTCTCACATAACTACTAGATGTGGAAGTTTGTTGTTTTTTATTTTAAAATTTACTTACAACCCAGATCATTCATGAATGTGTGTATATGTTTACAAGTTTATACTTTGAAGAATAAATTGAATCACAGCTATATGAATGAACTTTTAAAAATAAGTACAGCATTTTACTTAAACTTCTGACATTGCTCTTGCTTAGAATTGATGTTCTTTTAAGAGAAATACTGTGGGAGGTTTAAACATAGGCATTCTGAAAGTAATTGAAACTGGACTTTTTTTTCTTTTTGTAATCACTTATATGCTTAAAGCATCTATCCTTGAGGCAATCATTTTTCATTAATTAACTTCTTTGCATTCTTAGAATCATTGCAGATATAATTAACATGTAAGATAAAATTCATAAGCATGAAACTAATTATGGTTGTATAGTGATGAGGATTTATGAAAGCAATTAAATAAGGCATTTTACTTTTTGACTCCTAAGACTAGATGTGGTCAACAACCGACTGCTTATTCTTCAAAAAAGAAGAAAGGACATACTGTAGGCATATTTTAATTCATAGCATATTACCATTTATGAGGCTACTCTGAATTTGTTTTTGATTCTATGCCAGACCTTCTGAAACAGTGTCTTCTTTCCTTGCCTAAGCATAAGGACAGTAGTACTTAGCAAGTTGTTATACCTTCACAGGAATATCAGTGAGACAGTATAGTGTAATATTTATGACAAGATCTGAAGTCACATTTCCTGGGTTTGCTTATCAAATAGTGTGATCTTCAGCAAATTACCTGATGCTCTGTCCCTCATTCCTTCATTATAAAAATATTAGTACTTTAGATAAATAATTTAGAAAAATCTTTGGTCCCTAAAATTCCAATTAGATAATTAATGGTTACTATTGTTTTTTTCCTCCTAAGAATAACTTGGGCTATACATTGATTTAGATTTGAGGAAAATATCAAATCATATACATTTTTAAGAGTTTTACTATAGATAGCTTAGTGTGATTATACATGGCTATGTCACATCATAGCATCCATAAAGCTTGAATTACTGAGGACCACTGAACACGGCCTCTGGGTACATGGGACATCCTCATGGACTCAAGATTCAGTAAGTTCAATCTTCTGGAACTATTTTCCTGTAGAGTCATGAATGTGTTAGTGTGCTCACTGCAGGAGTGGTGGTCGTAGTGTGATATCAGTATTAGTTGGTAGTGACTGTAGTGGCAGTATAGGCTCAAACTTATGGTAACATTTATTAAACACTTACATGGTTGCAGGTGCTCTTCTAGGTACTTCACATGGATTAACTGATTTTATCTTCACTGTAACCAAGGAAATAGATATTATTATTAGTATCTCAATAATTATTTTTTGAAGTAGCAGAGAAGTCATTACATACTGGGAAGGATAGGTGGAGGATAGGATAGAGAGAAGATGGATAATGGGTACAAAGTATAGTTGGGGGGAAGTAGTTCTGCTATCGTATAGCACAGTAGGATAACCATAGTCTACAGCAATTAATTAGAAATGAATTATATTACATATTATGTTATGTAATTATATTAATTATAATGTAATTACAATTAATTTATATTATGAAATAACTAGAGAAGAGTTTGAAGTTTCCCAACATATAGAAATAATAATATTTGAGAAGGAAATGCTAATTATCATGATTTGATCAGATTTGATCATTACACATTGTATATGTGTATTGAGTCATAATAATGCACCGTACAAATAAATATAAATATTATGTAGGTTAAAAAGTAAAAATAAACAAAATAATGGTTTTTCTGAGTGAAGAATTTTACGATGAGGAAGTGAAGTTGTAGAGGGATTATACAAAGTCACAAAGCTGTTAATTGATAGAACTAGGTTTAAATATAAACTGATTCTAAAACTTAAATGCAGATGTAATTCCACCAGCATAGTTTTGGCTTAGGGAAATGACATTTCATTCAGCACTTGAGCTTGTGCCTTGCTATAGCTAGGTTTTCTTGGCCAGTGTCAAGCAAACCATTCTAAGCCAACAGAAGCTGTGTGTCCATAGTCTCCACTGAATTGTCTTAGAATTCTGTTTTATTCCTTGCTTGGGCTTTTTATCATTTTAACTTGTTACCTTAAGAGGTAGGCTTGAAGACAAAAGTGTATGTGCTTGGTATAATATATTAATAAAAAAAATTTAGATGCCACTGCTATCCCTTACTGATGACTCAAACCCCCTACCTGGATCTTACCCCCTAGACTGCTTTCTGGCCCTATCCCAGCAGACTCTGAGTCATGGCCTACTTTACTTTAGTTCCCTAGTTTGAGCCAACCCTGGTTTCTCTTTGCAGCTAACACAAGTCTCTGAAAAAGATTATGTAAGTAGTCATAGGAGACATACAACAGAAAAAGAAAAAATGAGCAGGAATAATTCAGTCAGTAACTACATTGATGTTAAACTAATGAACACTTTTCTGTTTTGCCTTACTTGTATTTTAACTCAAAAAAATACTTGAGGCATGTCAGCTAGGGCAGGAAGAGTTTCCTCTAGTGACTTTCCAGTTCTCACTTGACCTGTCATGTGCATATGGATGCAACTGCTGGCCAGGGGAAGAGTGGGGAGCATTCTTCCGCCTTCACTTCCTAGGCTCTTTAGCCCCCATTGAGCTGTGAACAGTGGCTGAGGACAAAAGCTGTATACACTGTACAAACAGAGCAGCAAAGCAGCAGTACACTGAGTCATTCTTCGCTCTGTGTGAGAACTGAGGGGGACTCTATTCATTTCCTTTGTGCTGGTGTCTGTCAACAGCGCTGTTTGAGGCAAGGCCTATTGTGCCGGCCAGTGTTTCTTATTGACCTAAGTCTGTGCCTGCTATGTTCCCAGGGTCGAAGTTGCGAGTGAGAGAATGTTTGGAAAGGGGTAATCATAGGCTAAATGCATTTTGCTGCATTGTCATCTGACCTATTAAATCTAAACTGTGGTCTACGTTAATGCAAACAGGTAATTATATAGTCACAGCTGCAGCTATTGACATCTGGTTACCACCCCCATGGGAAAAAAAATATGTGTTTTTTGTCCTCTGTCTAGATTCTCATATGGTGGACTTTAATGATTTTTAACTGAAAATAGATAGTAGATTAGGAAGAACGAAAGATCAACAGGGTGGATACTATTAAATAACCTCTGCCACAGATGTTGCATGTTTTTCTTTGATAACAGTGCTTTTCCATGACTCCAGCGTGAATAATCTTGACTTAATTTTAAAGTAGATTAAGGTGAAGACCATTTTTATGTTTCTATCATGTATAATTGCAGCATCATTATAAATCACTTTGAAGGGCCTGCCTCTCGTAACTTAATTTTTCCGGCTTGCCTTGGGGTTTATCCACTGTGTTCTCGTCGCTGTGCTCTCCCCGTGCAGGGTGCTCCTCTGCGCTCCCTGATCTTAGCAAGTACATTACGGTGACTTGAGGCCATGGCTATCAATTGTGTTAATAAGGTCTATTCTTTTTAGTTGCTTTTAGGACTCTAAGGAGCACAAGTTATGAATAAATAACTCTTAGGGTATCACCTCTTCCATGTCCTATGGAGAAGAACTTTTATAATAGCAGAAGAAAAAAATGTTTAGAAATCTGTTCCAGTCTACCATGAAAATCTATTTACTATTTGAATACAGTATTTCATCTCTACAATTCATTATTTAGCAAGATTTATTAAAATCCTAATAAATGATAGAATTTGTGCTATGTATTGGGGTATGTAGAGATGAAGATCCAGTGTTTTTTTTTCTAATTCAGTCCATCAACTAGTAGCATTTTGAAGTATAACAAGAAAGACCTTATGAGTTCAAGGTTGTTGTACTTTTTTTTTTTTAAGAGAGACAGTGAGGGAGAGAGAGAGAGAGAGAGAGAGAGAGAGAGAGAGAGAATTTTAATATTTATTTTTTAGTTATTGGCGGACACAACATCTTTGTTTGTATGTGGTGCTGAGGATCGAACCCAGGCCGCATGCATGCCAGGCAAGCGCGCTACCGCTTGAGCCACATCCCCAGCTCAAGGTTGTTCTACTTTCTGTCAGGTGAATATTGGAATGCAGTCTCCCTCTAAGTGGATGTTTAGAAGTCCTATTGGGTCTTGATGAGAAAGCACTCAGGATGCCCATGGGCATGGATTACTTTGCCTTTTGAACCTGTAAGCAGGGCTCCCCTGGGTCTTGCACTTCTCAGAGTGAGCAAGGACTGATTGTGCTGCTCTCTTTGAGGTTGTGGCGGTCAAAGGAGGGCAATTCAGCATCACTTCTTGCATTCTAGGTACTGGAGATACAAAGACAAATATTTTAAAACTCTTACTGTCATAGGGCTCAGGTTAAATGCCTTTTTAAAATCTTCATTGCAAGCATGATTTTGAAAAACAAACTATGGCACCACAGTTGAATTTAATATAATAAATAATAAGATAAAAATTAAATACCAAATATGTTTTATCTTTGAAAACATTGGCCAGTAATGAAGAATGTTCCCTCCAACTTGAAAAAAAAAATTCAAGGTAAAAATTGGAAAGTCAAAACAAGAATTCCAAGGTGGCAACCTGAAAGGGGAAGACAAGGGGAAACAAAAGGAAAATCAAAGAAAAGGGAATCCGGGCAAAGGTTTAAGTCCTAAAAAAGAAAAACAACCTCAAAATCCTAAAAGGAAAACCTTTTCCTTCCTTTTCCCCCCTTGGAATTTTTTTAACAAACAGTACTTTATTTTTCTATGCTGCTGTTTCATATATGGAATTATTTTGACAGATACCAAGTATAATCACTTCAAAAGGCTTTTCATATTTGTAAGAAATAACAAACCATATGCCATCTAGCCAAAGCCCTGATTTGGAAAGAACATGGCTCTTGGCCAGCAATTAATTAAGCCACCCTTTTGTTTTGGCCATATTGTGTTGTTGTATAGGTGTGAAATCATCTGTCGTCACTGGATAGGAATATTCCTATGCATCCATGGCAATTTTAGGGAAAGCAGTCGACTTTGGTACTGTTTTTCTACAAAGAAATAGGAGTGGTAAGTCCAAGTACACGAAGCATGAGAAGCCTGGAAAAAAGCTTTTGGGATAAAAAGGGCATAAGAATTGGGTCTTGGGTAGCTGGTCTTGGGTAGTGATTCTTATCATTTTGGACTCTTGAAAATCATACTAATGTTCGAAGGAAGTTAGAAGCTGAACATCTGTAGCAGGTGTCTATTACTAGAGAACAAGAAAAGATTACTTAATTATGTGCTATGTATAGTGGGATGCCCTGTTGTCAAAAAGAGAAAATAATTAGCCTGAATAATCGATTTCCTGCATTTCTCCTAAATTCCAGTTGAGATAGTCTTAAATTATCTTCAAACAGAGATCTGCCCTGATATCAGATTAGATGGGCTCAATTAGGTTAGTCAGTGTTCTTCTCATCGAGTGACTTCACTGCTTCTCATTAGAGTAGAATTAACTTCTTATTCAGGATATAGTAGTTAAACAGAGTTCTGGGCCCTGGGTCTAAAGATTGCAATCAGGGAAGGCTGGTCTCAACATAGAGCTTCCTTTTACCCATTTTGACCATTGTCACTGCTTCCCCTCATTCATCCTCATTGCTGTTGATCTTAGCAAGGGACCCAGAGACACTATTGCCTTGCTTACAAATAAGGTTTTATGTTTGATCTTTTCATTTTGTAAAAGATAAAGCACCTAAATCTTAAAAGGGTGCTTTCTTTTTTTAATGAACAGCATTGGCTTTGGGAATTTCAAAAGCTCTATAATGTTTTGTGCGTATGGTAAAAAGGACTCACAACAGACATTGTGATCCAAATACTTGTTTTCTCTTTCTCTTAGTGGAGAATTATTTCCCTAAGATAAAACATGATTAAACTAGAATTGTTTGGTGTTTTTTCGCCAAATCCTAACTAATAAATCTAAATTCACACGTATATTTTGGAGGGTTTCCTGAACACTAGCCTTGGCTAGTGTTGAGCTTCTCTTTCCTTCGATGAGTGCTGGCTAGCCTGTGGTACCTGCATTTACACATCCATACTCACCCTCTCCTACATTGGTCTGGTACCTATCTTTATTTTGGGGAAAAGTGAAAGTATATTAAAGTGCTTTACAAATAACTGTAGGTGGGTTCAGAGAGGGTTAACCATCTGGCATTCTTAGTGGCTTAATTAGGCTCTGGCATAGAGCCAGCATCCCTAGAAAATGGGTCTGCCAAAGACATCCACAGAAACTGGTGGGTTTCAGTGTCCTGGAAAGGTCTGGAACCTTCAGCATAGTCTGTGATTTTGCCTACCTGTCGTGTGAAAGAGGGAGGCTGTTCAGACAAAGGGACAAAGCAGCCAGTCATATTTCCATCCAGCACCATGATTGTGTTTTT